ACCTATGATATTGCATGTTTATCTGTATATGGGTGTTATCTGTTGGCATATTATGTTGGATTGAGGTTGTAGTACTTTGTGTTATAGCCAACAAACCTTGGGGCATTCTAGATATGAGTTGAGGGCTGGGTAGGGCATGAAAGACTCATACCGAGGGATCAATAGCATTCCAGATACAAGTTGAGGACCCGGTAGGTATGTCAGACTCGTATTGAGGGCTTGAGGGTATTAGAGAAATCCATATATGATTTGAGATCCGGGTAGGGCATGCTAAATTCATACTGGGGCTCAATAGCATTCCAGATACAAGCTAACGACCTGGTTGGTATGCCAGACTCGTAATGAGGACTGCACATTGATAATTCAGTTCGATGACTGATCGGTACAAGGAGTAAGCCAGACATAAAGTTATGGGCCCCTAGGGAAAGCCAGACTTATGTTGTAGGCTCAGGAGCAAGCCAAATGTGAGCTGTGGGCCCGATAAGCAAGCAAGACTCATATTATGGGCTCAGGGGTAATCCAGTCTTTTATCAGTATGCCCAATGCATGTTGTTATTTGTATGTGTTTTTTTTGGGTGTTGGTACTTTGGGGGAACTCACTAAACTTCGTGGTTACATTTTTGGTTTATGCTTTCAAGTACTTCAGCGGATTTTATCAAGGTGAAGGCGTAACCGTACACATCTTTGTGTTTTGGACTTATGATTTCTGGGAAACTCTGATAACATGAATGTTTTGACTTTTAAATAATGCTTTAGAAACAATGGTCTTTGTAAACACTTCTTTAGAAAAAAAAAGGTTTTTTTGAAAAGTTTAAATTTTATGAATTTTTATGGATGTTACAAAAAGGCATGTTGATTTGTAATGATTTGATGTGCTCCAGGAACTTTTATAATCTTCGGCTTGCTTATCTTGGTTAGCATGACTCGGGTACGGGAGAGGTGATTTTTAGTCATTAACAGGAGATTGGTTACCAGATTCTTCGAAGTCTACATCATGGAGTTGATACTCCACGTTGTGGATCCTACACAAATTCTTATCCAATATTTTCCTCCACCGAATTTTACACACTAGATGGCTCATCATTATCTAAGGGAATTAAAGGAGTAATAATCTTACCATTTCTTTTTGCCACCTCTTTAATGTATGGAATTTGCGTAGTTTCAGTGTCGCTATGAAGTATTCCCAGTAGACACTCGTGGAGTAATCTTGACAGTTTCATGACTTGATGCTTCATATTGAGGATCGTGGTTAGCTGGCTTCTAAGTCTAGCTTCATTTACATCATCTATCTTCTCAGATGCTGATGCAAATCGAACCAACATTGCTTCAAAACCAAATTTCTTTTCGAGAACGGGTTTCTCTTTTTTTATAGAAGCCCCGGACCTTATTGTCTATATTTCTCCTGTTGCTCATTATTGTATTTATCATATGTCTTCCACTCCTTCTTAGGCTTCCTCTAATCGGTGTCAGACCTATCACCACTCGAGTAGTAAGTTTGGAGTTTTTAGTTCCCATCTTCATCCAAGTCACAAAAATAAAATAAAATAAAATCGTTTCTAGAAATAAAATAGTGTCCAGAGTCTTCGTCCTTAAGAAACCATGTAAAAGTCCACACAATCATCCATACGAACCCATCTTGTTTCGAAACCGATCCTAAGTAGTTTGCACCCAACAACATCACATCTATGTAGTCTATTACCTATGCAGTTTCAAGGTTGTTCGCAATCACTACACTCTGAAGTTCGCATCTGATAGGACTCCGAGATTTGCATCGGATCACACTCCAAGAATTGCTATCGCAACCGATAACAAGGGACCCCGTCGTATTGATAATAGAAGACTCCGGCGAGTTATGATGAATCAAAACCAATTGCAACCAGTCGCAATGAATTGGAATCTCAATAGTGTTCAGGATCATATGGTCTTTACATTATAACTTTATCTGTATTGATTATGACATTCTTATGATTTTAATTGAGACAATCTTGTACTCAAAAGATTTTTATACACTAGGATTTTCTACAAATAAAATATCAAGATTTTTAAAGCGTAAATAATATTTCTTTTTGGTTCTGAAAATTAAAGGATGTCACATAAGATGCAAGAGTCCACTCGTGGCTTATATGGATCCTTCGGTTTGTATAAATTACATTAACAAAGATTCATAATGATACTTGTAACGATGTAAGACATATTTGGTAATGTTTACTATTAAAACCTTATGTTATTTATATATTATTCATGTATGCTTTGACTATGATATTCAATTTTGTCAAGGTGAAGGCGTAACCTTAATCAAGTTGGTATTTATTGAATACTTATTAAGTATTTGATTATTAATAAATAAATTCAACTATTGTATTTAACTAGAGAAAAATTATTGTTTTATGAAAATAATAATAAAAAGGAAGACAAACTAGTCATTATATCATATGGTTTGATTAATAAATCATGTACAAATGTTTTTGACACTTTGGTTAACTGTGGACTTAATAGTTATTAGGTATTCCTGTAAAATAAACTAGCTTAACAATTTTATCTCTTTTGGAGACCATACCACAACAACTTTCCCAAAATTATGGAGGTTGCTTGTGAACCTTCATCTCTTGTCTCTCATGCTTCTAATCTACTGTATTACTTTACATTATTATATAGGCTTTGACCTTATCTTGCATGGGATACATAAGGGACTCATTTTCATGAGAGTTTCTAGTTTTTTCCCTCTAATTGTCTCCCAAAATTCATGGGTTTCTACCCTTAATGCCATCTCTCTCTTTTGAAGTTTGATACTTCGCTTTTGGTGCTTCTTTTGTGTCTTCCTTTAGTGTTTATTTTGTTAGGAACTTAAAGGCTTAAAAGAACAAACCATACAAGAAGGAAACTAGCATTTCTTGGTACCTAAATCTTGGTGATGGATATTTGTATAGAAGATCATCCTCTTTGATCTTTTCATCTTCATCAACACCCCAAAACCAAATGAATTCAAAGGCTCCAAAGGTTGTCATTCTAATGCACTCTATGATTAGTTTTAATATCATTCTAACCTATTTAAAAGGATCCTTGTTGTTTTTGTTTTGAAATATACTAAAAAATAATGTTCTTATTTTTAAAGCTTCCATTGTGGTCTTTATATAAAACTTTCTTATTTTTGTTTCAAAACCCTTCGGTTATATTTTAAACGTGCTAATTATTTTAGATATATTTAAGGTCTCCCACCAACCTACCCATCTAATACACGCCCACATACCTACCCTATCTAGGGGTGAGGTTACTATATCTTAAGGTGGGTCCTTTAACCCACCTAATTTTTAAATATTTATTATAATTTATATACCCAAAAATTAAGATGTACCTTAAAAATGAGAGACCTAATTTATATCTTTGAAAAAATATTTTGAGTCATAAACATATATTTACTACTTATAGTTAGTGGTATCTTGCTATAATGTGTGACCTTATCAGATATATGTTAAAATCTGGAAATATAAAGAAAGAAGACAAAACAATAAGTATAAAGAAAGAAGACAACATGAATAATAAACCAATCAAAAGTAAGGATAGTGATTTAGGAGAACATCGAAGTTTCAAATTTTTGTTCAGAAAACACCATTTAAGTATTACATGTTTAAAAAGCATCATCAAACTAAGACATATGTTCAAAAAACACCAACAAAGTACATATTCTGTTCAAAAAACATCATCTCTATGGTTTGGGATAACTTACATGTTTAGCCCTTAAATTTTTTTCTTAACTCGGACGGTCCCTAGTGTTTATATTTATTTTGTATGCGGACCATGATCGAGTTAAAAGACTAACATACCCTTATTAGTTTTATTTAACATTTGTTTTTATTATTTGTTAATTATTTATACAATTGATATATTTATAAAAAATAATAACATAAATTGTATAAATAATTAATAAATAATAACAATAATGTTAAATAAATATAATAAGGGTGTATTAGTCTTTTAACTTGATAAAGGTCTGAAGTCGAAGCAAATTTAAACTAAAGAGACCATCCGAGTTAGGAAAAAAAGTTGGGGACTAGATATGTAAGTTATTCCAAACCATATAGATGATATTTTTTGAACTGGTATATCTTAGTTTGATGTTGTTTTTTAAACATCTAATACTTGAATGGTTTTGTTTTTGAACGAATTTGAAATTTCGATGGTCTCTTAAGTTATTTTCCCTTTTTTCTATCTCCCCTACAACACTGACCAAGCCTTCTTTTCCTTTATTTCTTTCTGCTTGAAACCAGGGCAACAGTGGCCGGCAGGCGGCAACATCCAATGATGGAGAGCCCGGCAGCCACTAGTGATTTCAATTTGGGATTTCTATCCTAGTTTAGTTAGTTTCCTATATTTGGGGTCAATCTCGAATTTGATGTGTTTGTTTCCGGTTAAAATTTGGATTTCGATTTATTTGTATCTGATTTGAGTGGGAGGTGGTGATAAATGATGGTGGTGGTGATATATTTACTACAACAATAATTCTAAATAACAAGAAAGTATAAAATCAAAAGAAGACAAAAACATGGGCATTATAGTCATTTGGTATGCAAGCATGGTAAAAATAAGGACCAAAAAGCTGATTGATTTTTCAACACTGAGTTAAATTTCCAAAACTATGACCACATCTCGAGATTTTTGTATAGCACATGTACCAAAACTGTAATTTACTCTTTTTTATTAGTTATTAAGGTATCAATGTTGGGTTCTTCAATTGTGCTGGCACTTAATAATAAAAAAGTCATTATTATAAGAGAAGCACATGCCACGTTGAGAAGTCACGTGACGAAAAATAGTGGTGCCCAGCTGCCAACTAGAAGAATGGTACAAAATTTTATAAAAAATATGATAGCTATAAGCCTATAGCATCATACCATGATTTTTACTATAAAACAAAGCTTAATCCTTCTTTCTCGAGCACTATTTTTATCTACATCCCTAGCACTGCATACATACACACCAGTGCTTCCATTTCACTATAAGCAATGGCTGAAATTGTTGTTTCTACCTTCTTCACGGTGGTCTTTGAAAAGCTGGCTTCCGAAGCTTTGAAGAAGATTGGTCGTGCCAAAGGAATCGATTCCGAGCTCAAGAAATTGAAAAGATCATTAGGCCAGATCCACGATCTGCTTAATGATGCTTCTCATAAGGAAATAACTGATGAAGCTGTTAAAGCATGGCTGAATGATCTCCAACATTTGGCTTACGACATAGATGACCTACTTGACGATTTGGCAACTGAAGCTATGCATCTTGAATTGAGCGAGGTATCGGGAACCACCACCAGCAAGGTAAGAAAGCTAATCCCAAATTGTTGCAGCAAGTTCTCATTAAGTAGTAGGATGCAATATAAGTTAGATGGTATTGGCGCCAGGTTACAAGAACTAGTGGAGGCAAAAAATGATCTTGGGTTAACTGTAGTCACAAATGAAAAACCCAAAATTATAAGATACGAGGCATGTTTGGTAGATGCAAGTGGTATTGTTGGACGTGAAGGTCATAAGAAGGCATTGGTTCAACAACTGTTGGGGAGTAAAAATGAATCCTGTAATCAAAACTTTAGCGTCGTGCCCATAGTTGGTATGGGTGGAGTACGTAAAACAACTCTAGCTAGACTTTTGTATGACGAAAAGGAAGTGAAGGATCACTTCGAACTCATGGCTTGGGTTTGTGTTTCGGATGAGTTTGATATCTCGAGTATAAGCAAAGTTATTTATCAATCTGTGACTGGGGAAAACAAGGAATTTGCAGATTTAAATCTTCTTCAAGAAGCTCTTAAACAGCAACTTATGAAGAAACGATTTCTAATAGTTTTAGATGATGTTTGGTCTGAAAGCTATGATGATTGGGAAAAATTAGTGGGCCCATTTCTTGTGGGAGCTCCTGGAAGTAAAGTTATCATGACGACTCGGAAGGAGCAATTGCTCAGAAAGCTGGGTTATGCTCATGTAGACTCATTACAGGGTCTGTCACATAAAGATGCTCTGTCTTTGTTTGCTCAACATGCATTGGGTGTAGATAACTTTGATTTACATCCAACACTTAGACCACTTGGTGAAGGGTTTGTGGAAAAATGTGATGGCTTGCCTTTGGCTTTAAGAACACTTGGGAGGCTGTTGAGGACAAAAACAGATGAGGAAGCATGGAAAGAGCTGTTGGATAGTGAGATATGGAGGTTAGGAAAAAGTGACGAGATTGTTCCGGCTCTTAGACTAAGTTACCATGATCTTTCTGCCTGTTTGAAGTTGCTGTTTGCATACTGCTCCTTGTTCCCCAAGGACTATGAGTTTGAGAAAGAGGAGTTGATTTTATTGTGGATGGCTGAAGGGTTTTTGCACCAATCGACTTCAAGCAAGTCAATGGAGCGTTTGGGTGTCGAATACTTTGAAGAGTTGCTGTCAAGGTCGTTTTTTCAACATCTGCCTGGTGACAAACCGTTGTTTGTGATGCATGACCTCATGAATGACTTGGCTATATCAATTGCTGGAGATTTTTTCTCAAGGTTAGATGTTGAGATAAAGAAGAAATTTACCAAGAAAAGTTTGGAAAAGTACCGCCATATAGCATTTGAGTGTGACCATTTCATGGGTTATGGAAGGTTCGAGTCATTCAAAGGAGCTACAAATGTGAGAACATTCTTAGCATTATATTCTAAGAGGTACACAAATCAGGGATCATTCAGCATTTCAAATAAGATTGTGGCCAACTTAGTTCAAGAGTTACCATTACTAAGGGTACTATGCTTAAGTTACCTCTCAATAAGTGAGGTACCAGAGTGTGTTGGTGGTATGAAGCACTTGCGATATCTGAACTTATGTCGGACCTGCATTCGAAGTTTACCAGAAAAGGTGTGCAATCTGTATAATTTACAGACATTGATAGTATATCGCTGCACTTCTTTAGCTAAGTTGCCTGAGAACTTCTCAAAGCTTAAAAATTTGCGTCATTTTGACTTTAGGCATACTCCACTTGTGACGAAAATGCCATTAGGTATTGTTGAGTTGAAAAGCCTACGAACTCTCTCTAAAATCATTATTGAAGGAGAGAATGGCTTTTCAATGACCAACCTTAAAGACTTGAAATATCTCCAAGGGAAAGTTTCCATTAAGGGGCTGGAAACAGTCCAAAGCCCACAGGAAGTGGATTTTTCTGAAAAGAGGCTAACAGAGTTAAAGCTGGAATGGCGTGATGTATATGATGGTTCGCAAAAGGAAACACCAGAAAAGGAGGTCCTTTGTGGGCTGAAGCCTCACAGTGATGACTTGATAAAGCTTGGAATAATGTCATTTGGAGGTAAAGAGTTTCCAAATTGGATTGGGGATCCTTCATTTCTTCGGTTGGCTAGTGTGTCCATAAAAGGTTGCAAAAATTGTACATCCTTACCGCCACTTGGGCAGCTACCTTCACTGAAGAAGTTGTCTATTTTTTTCATGGATGAGGTGAAAGTTGTGGATTCAGATTCACATGGGACTGGTCTTGCATTCCCTTCACTTGAAAGTCTATCTTTGGTTCATATGAACGGATGGGAGGTATGGTTAGGTACAACTTTTCCATGCCTTCAAAAGCTATTCATAAGTAATTGTCCTAATTTGGTTAGAATATCACTTGAAGCACTACCCTCACTAAGGGATCTAACAATACATGATTGTGGTCATCAAGTGTTAACAGGTATTGTTCGTGTAACTTCCTCAGTTACCCTGTTTCATATAAATAAAATCCGTGGTCTTACCGACCAGCTGTGGAGAGGTGTTATAGAGTATCTTGGGACAGTTGAAGAAATAGAAATTGAATGGTGTGATGAAATAAGTTACTTGTGGGAATCTGAAGCAATGTCAAGTAATGTTCTTGTACATTTAAGGAAGTTGGCAGTATCTTGGTGTTCAAATTTGGAGAGTTTAGTAGAGAATCACTGTTGGAGCAACCTAACATCTCTTAGGATCTTGGAAGTATTCTTTTGTCCGACAATGCAGTGTTGCAGCTGCCCAAATAGCATTCAGACGTTGAATATCACTGGCTGTAGTTCGATTACGTCTATCTCCTTCCCATCAGGAGCGCAGAAACTCAAGTCAGTTACGATTAACGATTGTGAGAAACTATTGGAGAATGTGGTGGGAGGAGCAGATGAGACTGGGGTGCTTATCAACTCAAGCATGCGAATGCTTGAATCTGTTGAGATAACTGATTGGCCACATCTGAAATCCATCATTGAATTGAGTCGGTTCATTCACCTCACCAAATTGAAAATAACAGATTGTCGGGAGATGCAGTCGTTTCCATACCACGAGTTGCCCAGTCTCACTGTGTTAAAACATCTGACAATAAAAAACTGTCCGAGTATAAATGCTTCCTTCCCTTGCGGGCTTTGGCCTCCAAAATTGCGTCACCTTGAAATAGGGAGGTTGAACAAGCCAATGACGGAGTGGGGCCCACAGAATTTTCCAACCTCACTTGTTGAATTATTGTTAATTGGTGGACGAACAGAAGATCTGAGTAATTTTAGTCAGTTCTCCCATCTTCTTCCGCCATCTCTTACTTATCTCTGCATAATCGAATTTCAGAAACTGGAATCACTTTCAACTGGACTCCAACACCTCACCTTCCTCCAGGGTCTCTCCATTGTCAAGTGCCCAAAGACGACAGATCTACCACAAATGTTGTTGCCTTCACTTTTGAGTTTGAGAATCTATGATTGCCCAAATCTGGATGAACGGTGTCGTAAAAAAGGCTCCTACTGGTGGCCCCTCATTGCCCATATCCCCTCACTCGACATACACTGAAGATTACCTTCCCCTGGTATAGTAAACAAGGCTCCCCCTGTCTTTAATTAATAATTATACGTCATACATGCATACAGTAATCTACGTTGCCCTACAGTGTGTGAGAGATTGATACACGCACACATATATTTCTCATCCTAGAACTCTCTCACTCATAGATATTTTCTATGGTTCTTAGTTGTTATTGTTCTTTATCCCGATCCTTACAGAGTTATATAACATGATTTTCTTTTAATAATCTTGTTATGGCTAGTGTAATAAGGATCGTATTTCTTTTCTAAACCGATTGTTATTCAGTTTTAGTAATTCATTTTCAGTAAAAGATGTAGTTTTAGTAATTCATTTTCAGTAAAAGATTACATCTGTTGTTAATAAAATTAAAAAAGTTTATAATTTCTGATTATATCAACATAAGCTGTATTTCTTTTACTCATATAAGTTTTTTTTATTTTGTCAAACACTTAAATGCTTATTGCTTATTCTCACCGTAATAAGCTAATCCAAACATATTTTTAAAAAAATGTTTATTCTCACCAAAATAAGCAAATAAGCAAGATAAGCTAAAACTATTTATCCAAACACCCCCTTAGTTTAGATAGGCATAATTTTAGTAGTTGAGTTTGCTTTTATTCAAAATGCAGTTTTTTTATATTGTCTCAGCATAAAAAATGTTTCTCGATATCATAAATGCTTTTGTTTTATATATGAATATGATTTTGGTGTGAACAGGGAATAGCCATTGATGGATTGCAAAATTTATCAAAATGGTTACTGATTCACACGATTTACAGCCAAGGAGTAAGAGATTTGATGTCTGTGGATCCAAACGTTTTAGAAATAAAAAGATGCAAGAGGAAATACAAGATTAAATGCTGGTGTTACTTCAGATATACAAGGCTGGTTCCTCTCAGGCTGCTTGCAGATTGGAAAATCATTATGTAGCTTCCAAAGTTGACTTCTTCTGTTTATAATCAAAGTAAGGATGACTACTCATTGATAACTCCACCAACAAATGCCTTTGGTTATTGATCTCTTTATATATAAAAAGATGATATTGAGCTGATTGAGTTTTATAACTTTAGTATTGATATATAAGTGAAATTCTACTTAGTTATTCAAGTCTAAGAAATTTAAAATCGATTGTACTTAACAACTGGAAATATGGTTTGACATTAGTCATTGAGGCGGGTTTCTTATATATAATGCCATCTTTTGTTGGCATAAATAAATATAAACCATAAACCATATTATTAAATCATCAAGATGTAAAGAGAACCATACCTTGATCTATTGATTCGTGCCCTCGTCTTGATTTTGAATTTAGACAATGAAATAGAACATGTGTGTGTTGGTCTTCCTCGACAAAAGGCCCTTTCGTTTCCATCAAATTATCTTTATGATAGGGTTGTCCAAGACTTTAAACAGTCTGATAATTAGTATTATGAATTAATAACGAATTATTTAGCAATGTCAAACGAAGGAATGGATAGATAATATTTATGATTAAATATCCAAAACGTTTTCACATAATCAAGCACCTAACAATTAATATTGAGGATTAAACATTGAGAAGTTGCAAATAGTAATTCTATTGTTATTATTAATAAAAGATGAATAAAATACTAGATAACAAAAGTAGAGTTTTTTTTTTGTTATGTTTAACTTTGAAAAAATAGTGAAATTAGACAATTTTAAAAAATTTATCGTAAATTACTATTGATTTGATGTTTTTAAGATATTAATTATTTGTGATTTAAATTAATTGTCTAATACATTATGATTTTTTTTATTACAAGTAATAGGTTTTAACTTTTAAAACCATTTGAGCTCTAAACTGTGGTAAAAAACCACAAAATAATCACACAAAATCAATGTGGTTAATAACCGTAACACTGGAAAAAACAAAAACCGCACCGTAAAAATAACCGTCTAACCGTACCGCAAAAATAACCGCACTAAACGGTTTTGAAATTGGATTAACCACATTTGCGGTTAGTAGTGAAGTTTTGGCTAATAACTGCACACAACTGCACCGCGCTCACCCCTAGTATCAATAAACATTTTTCGGTTCATTTCTTCCCTCCCTTTTCTTCTAAAAATTTCAAAGCCCCACCATTTAGAGCATCTCCAACCCATCCTCAAATCTCATTTTTTTTCCTCTATTTTTTCCGTCATTCTTCTCCAACCCTATCATGTTCTCATCTCTAATTTTGGAGATATGAATAGTTTTCCCTCAAATTTATAAGAACACTATACATTTATCCAAAAATAGACGATAAATTTTGTATGTCGGTTTTAGTCTTTTTTTTTAATTATTTTATATATGTATAGTTTACTTTTATCTATTAATAATAATTTAAATTTAATATTTTTAATATCCTATTATATATTAATTAATCATAAATATAAAGTTTAATATTTATATACCGAATTAATATAAATAATTCAATACATAATGGTAACCTTATAACTTAATAAGGCCTTTTCATATATACTCTTTTTTCATATATAGTTCATGTAAATTAAAAAAAAACAATTAGTCATTTTCATATATACAACTTCGGTCCGATTTTGCTAATGTTTTTCGGGTTCGATTCGGTTCTTATCCAAAAAGTACAAATTGAAAAAAATTCGAAACTAGGAACCGGTCCGGTTATAGGTACTTTCGGTTCGATCCAAGGCCGGTTCCAGGTTTTTCCGATCTTGTATACGAAATACATTAGTACTTTTTTCAAATATATCTGTAGTATTTCTATAAGATATATGTATAATATTTATTTATAAGTTTGTTACAAATATAATCTTATTTATTTAAAAAATATTTTTTAATAAATTAATAATTAATTCAAACACATTATATATTAACATTTTATTTTGTTATAATTTTATGATTATGTAATTGATAATATTATTGTAATTAAAAAATATAAAATATATATTTGTTAAAATCTAATTAGTAGAAAGGACGTGTGTGACAATAGTTATAAAAATGAAATATACTACGAATATACTTTTAGCGTAAAAAATATGGTTAAATAAAATAGAGTTAAAGATGAAACACTATTACCCTACGTTTTTACTCTATTTTTGAAAGAAAAATTGGAGATAAGTTAGAATGGTCTGATGTCCAAAATTCTTAAGAGGGCAAAAAAAAGTGAAACCCTGCGCACTCAAAGACTGTCCTTCATACTTTCGAAACCAAAGGTTATAAATCGGATGTTATCCAAGGCGTTGCCGTCTCTAAAATGTTACAAAATATGATGCTCTTGAACTCTAGCTGCTCTAGACATGACACAAGATTTACCCTAAACCCTAGTCCAAGTACATGACATTAATCAACTATAGGGTCGGTCCAAACAGATAATGAGCCTATAGCAAAAAGAAAAAATGAGACACAAAGTCATATATATAATAAAAATTAACTCAAAAATAAACAAACCATTACAAAGTTTAAAAAAAAAATCATTATTAATATAAAAAAAACAATATGCAGACACAACATTACAAGAGAAACAGAAAATTACTTCTTCTAGCATTTTAAATGCAAAATCATTAATAATACTATCAAAATTAATTTTATCTTACATATATTTTCTCTATACATAATATTCTCTAACTATTTAACGTTTCTGTCTCCATGTCGTAGAAGCCTAAGATTCAGTTCAAAGCAAGTTGTAACCGTAAAATAAAATAAAAAACAAAACAGTCAAAGAAGAAAAATTAGAATTAAATTTAAGCTTTTGAGTTCTGAATCATATATCTACAAAAATATTACATTGTTAAGTAAAAAATATGAAACATCAGTAGAAGATATAAAGCATCGACTCCGATCTAGTCTCCAACAATCTTTAAAATATAAATAAATAAATAAATAAAAAACCACCCATACAGGTACACACACAATAAGCTTTCAGCATTTGAGGACCAGGAATGTGAATAAAAATAAAAATCAGAAACAAACAATTAAACATCAGAAAATGTAGAATTGGATTTAGCTTTGAATTGAGTCAGATATATAGAAATATATTACCATGTTAAGTAAAAAAATTTAAAACTTAGGTAGAAGCTATAAAGAATTGACGGTCCAGTCTCCAAAAATATGAGACAAAAAAAAAACCCTATAAGGAATGTGAATAAAAAATTAAATTAGAAGCTGAGAATAATTGAAATGCATAAGGATTAGTGAAACAACAAAAATAATCTGTAGCTGACCTTACGTTTTTATTTCTTATTGATCATCGGTTCGTAGGAAACTTTGCAATTTTATATTCAATCAACAACAGACAAGTATAAGGTATCGACAGATGTGTGTATAATCTGAAGTCTGGTACAAGACTACGAGAATGAGAAATCAAAATATGAAATCAGAAACAAAGTGTGATGATTAACGAACTGAAGTCCATTACTTTAAATGAACTTAGAACTTACCAACGACTGTGTAACTGATTATGAATCGTTCTTTTGATGTCGATTCACTAGGCGACGATTACAATTCACACAAGGTTTCGATTTGATTAACTGGTTCCGCCTGATGTGGACTAAATGAAAATGGTTGTTTAACATTTACTTCTCAAAAGGTGTTCCATAGTCCATACAAGAATAAGAGGTTATTTCAATGTGCTGAAGTTGGTTTAATTTGTTAATTGGGTCAAGATAAATACATAAAATTAATATTTTTTATTTATGTATAAACTATACATTTCACAAAATTTGGGCCCGTTAACTTTATGGATCGTATGATGATTTAGTCACGCCTGGAGCAGAGTTTCACGTGGAGCAGAGTTCATGAAACTGGTGGTCACCGGAGAGCAGCGTATACAACATTCGCTGTAAGTATTAAATCTGCAATGATACCACTTTCATTATGGGTTTTCCTCTTTTTTCAGAGTTGATTCTTCATTATTGCATCTTATGGTTGATAGGTGGCTCGATGAAGAAGGATGTCATGCCGATATTCGTTAAACCCCAATCTCACAAGCCCAAATCCAATCAGTCCAGATCCCCAAATTGCAACGGTAACTCTTACATGTTACAAATTTGCCTATATTTCAGTTTCTTAATTCTCACTCACGATTGCGAAATAGGAAGTAGTCTTGAACTCATAATTCGATTCACCATAATGCGAAATTTGAGCTATAGACCTCACGGAGTCATGATCCTGCCTCTACTTCACTCAGTTGCTATAAAGTTTCATTAATAGCTAGATTACAATCAATATCATTTTAATTTATGTAATTACGTATGCTTAATTGCTAAAGTAGCATTAATATCAGTTCAAAATGCTAATTTTTACTTGTATTGCTAAAATGATACTATTGCTAAATTGTAATGAAGGTGGATGGCTTTTGGTTATTGTCTGATCTGTGAATTTTCATGAGGGTATTTGAAATAAATTGTAAGAGCCTCATAGGAGGAAAATCTATGTTCTTGAGTTTTTTTTGTTAATTTTTAAAGTATGAGGTTAGAAAAGGAATTATAAGAGAAATTTCTAAAACTTATCATTTGTTGGTTAATGGTACAACCGAACCATGTTATATTTTGGAGATAAATGATAAATTGGGAGAATTGTAGGAGCTTGTGAGGAAACAAAAAAAGCAAAACGAAGAACTCAAGGAAATAATGAAAGCCAAAGATGAACAAAACAACACAAAATACGAGCAGCTTGAACGACAACTACAAGCGGCAATGATAGTTAATGCTTTTAAAGAACATCAGAAGTAGTAGATCATAGATTGTTGATTTGTTTTTCGCAATTTTTTTATTTTGAATTAGGGTACTTTTAATTTCTATGTAATAAATATTTCTAGTTTTATTATATGGTATAAATCTTATTAATTTTTTGTTATTTTTGTTTTTAATGTATATTGGTACAAAATAATTGGGAATTAATTTAGAAATAAATTAACAATCCGTAGATATCTAGCATTGCAACGGAAAATATTCCTATAAATTGTGTTATGGAAACATGGCA